TGCTCAACACCTGTTCGACAGAGAGTTTCCGGCAGAGGATAGGCGCACAACTCACAATTCACATCGCTCTCACTTTGGTTCCACACCTAAAATGGATTTTCCTAAGTTTCATGGAGGAGATTACCAAATTTGGCTAGAAAATTGTGAACTCTATTTTGAGATTTATGGTGTTCCTGAAGGGATGAAAGCTAAATTCGCTTCCCTAAACTGTGTGGGCAATGCTGCCTTGTGGCTTCAAATGGTTCAAAAGCGGCGCAAATTCATTCACTGGAATGAGTTGAAAGATGTTGTTAGGGAGAAGTGGGGCAGAAACAAACACAAATTCCTCATGAGGCAATTACTGCTAGTGAACCAAACAGGATCGGTCGATGAGTACACTCTTAAATTTGACACACTTAGACACCAAATTTTACTGGTCGATCCTAACACCAGCGAAGTGCTCTTTGTTGAGAGATATTTAGCCGGCCTGCGTGCTGAGATTCGTTCAGTTGTTATCTTACACCAGCCTGAAGATGTAGATACTGCTAGTTCTTTGGCGTTATTGCAGGAAGTGGAACTGGAGAACGAGAAACAATCAAGTCATTCCAAATCAAGTCACCGGTACTTGGGCAAGACATCCTCAAATTCAGAGAAAAGTAAGACAGTGACAGTGCCTGATGAGAGTCGCAAGCTGTCCGAGAAACTTGAAGCTCTGCGTAGTTATCGCAAGGCCAAGAATCTCTGTTTCACTTGTGGAGATCCTTGGGCTCGGGGTCACAAGTGTCCAGACAAGGTTCCTTTGCATATCATGGAAGAGTTACTGGAAGTTCTACATCTCGATGACCCCCCAGATCCTCAGCATCTCTCGGATTCCAGCTCAGACGAGGAAGTGATGCTGGTAACGACAGCCTCGACACCAGCGAACACAGTTCACCGCCGAATCATTCGCCTGCATGGCTTGATCGGGAAACACAGCGTCCTGATTCTTGTGGACTCGGGAGCAAATTGTTCGTTCGTAGACGGGAATCTGGTCAATGAACTGCACCTTCAACCTCACGATATGCCACCAGCCCAGTATGTGATTGCCGGAGGGGCGACAATGTCAAGCTCTCAGTGGATACCGAAACTGACGTGGTGGACTCAAGGCCAAACATTTCAGCAGGATGTTAAGGTGCTGAATTTGGGCTGCTATGACCTGATCCTGGGGGCAGATTGGCTTGAAGACCACAGCCCTATGTGGGCTCACTGGCGGAAGCGGATGCTTCGTTTCACACATGAAGGACGTAGAGTTACTTTGACAGGCATTAAGGACAACACAACCTTGTGTAAACCTGTGTCTGCGAGGAAGATGCGCAGTCTTCTGCGCAGGGGAGCCGTGCAACATGCAATTCAGGTGCGTGCTGTCCACCAAGAGCTAGAGTTGATGTCATTGGATGTGTCGCAAGCTCAATCTGCGTTACCTCCAGAAATCGAGGCGCTGCTGGTAGAGTTCAATGGGTTGTTTCAGGAACCTACAGCCCTACCACCTCGACGACCTCAGGACCACAAAATACCCCTGATTCCCGGAGCTCAGCCAGTGAGTGCGAGACCGTATTGATACACTCCTCAGCAAAAAGATGAAATCCAACAACAGGTCAAAGAGATGCTCCGCCGAGGCATCATACGTCCAAGCAACAGTCCATTTGCCTCTCCTGTTTTGTTGGTTCGCAAGAAAGACGACACCTGGAGATTCTGTGTGGATTATCGCTTGCTCAATGCCATCACTGTTAAAAGCAAGCACCCCATGCCGATTGTGGACGAGCTGTTAGACGAACTAGCCGGGGCGTGCTGGTTCACCAAGTTAGATCTGTTGTCTGGTTACCATCAGATTCGAAAAAGTGAAGGAGATGAGTTCAAAACGGCCTTCCGTACTCATCAAGGTCTGTATGAATTTCTGGTGCTACCATTTGGGCTGTCGGAAGCTCCAGGCACCTTTCAAGGGGTGCTGAACTTTGCCTTCGACAAGTTACTTCGCAAGGGAGTGCTGCTCTTTATGGATGACATACTAGTGCACAGCTCGACTCTGGAACAACATGTGCAACAATTGAGAGAAGTGTTCCACGTTTTGCAAGACAACCAGTTTGTGGTCAAGCGTTCCAAATGTGTGTTCGCACAACAACAACTACAGTACCTGGGCCACGTGGTAGGAGCAAACGGAGTCGCTACAGACCCGGCCAAGATTGCAGCAGTACAAGCATCGCCAGTTCCAGCTAACCTCAAATCTCTCCGTGGGTTTCTGGGGTTAACTGGATACTATCGGAAGTTTATCAAGCACTACGGGGTAATCAGTCGTCCCTTGACTGAGTTACTTAAGAAAGGGACCCTGTTCCACTGGACTCCACACGCCGATGCAGCCTTCAAACTGCTCAAAGAAGCGATGATCAGTGCCCCGGTCCTGGCCGTCCCGGATATCTCTCAGCAATTCGTCCTGGAAACAGACGCGTGCAAGGATGGGGTTGGAGCCGTTCTCATGCAACAAGGACATCCTGTGGCCTACCTCAGCAAGGCTCTATGTCCTAAAAATCAAGCTCTCAGCACATATGAGAAAGAGTGCTTGGCTATCCTCATGGCAGTGGAGAAGTGGCGTCCGTATTTGCAGCACAACCACTTTCTGATTCGCACAGATCAGCAGGCACTACGACATCTGACAGAACAACGACTCAGCTCGGGGATTCAACACAAGGCATTCGTCAAACTGATAGGCCTCGACTACACCATTCAATACAAATGCGGGATTTCAAATGCTGCTGCCGATGCCCTCTCGTGTCGACCACACGATCTGCCTGTGCTGGCGATTTCGGCCCCTGTTCCTGCTTGGTTAGAACACTTGGTGGAGGGCTATGCAGACGACCCACACGCTAGTGCATTGGTAGCCGAGCTGGCGGTGACCGGCTCTAACAAGGTTTCAGTCTGTTGCACGGGGTCCTCCGCTACAGAAACAAGATCTGGGTGGGCTCCAATTAGCTCGCACAATAACACATTATGCAAAGCTTACATGACAGTGCAGTGGGAGGTCACTCCGGGGTGCTGGCAACCTATCGGCGAGTCAAGCGTTTGTTTGCATGGCCTAAGTTGAAGAAATCAGTGACGGACTATGTGCGCTGCGAGGTCTGCCAGATGGCCAAGGCAGAGCATTGCAAACTTCCTGGGCTATTGCAGCCTCATGACATACCGCCGCACCCTTGGCATACTTTGAGCTGGGATTTCGTGGAAGGTCTTCCTAAATCGCAAGGGACCGATGTGATTCTGGTGGTGATAGACAAGCTCACAAAGTACGGTCATTTCCTTCCCCTGAAGCACCCCTACACAGCTCTCCAGGTGGCACAGACTTTCTTTGATCAGGTGTACAGGCTGCACGGGATGCCACAACGCATTATCTCAGATCGTGATCCAGTTTTCACCAGCCTGTTTTGGCAGGAGCTGTTCCGCCTGTCTGACACAATTCTCAACATGAGCTCTGCGAGACATCCGGAGACCGATGGACAGACAGAAAGATTGAACCAGTGTATGGAAGCCTTCCTCCGCTGCTTTGCTCATGATACTCCAAACAAGTGGGCACGTTGGTTGCCCCTGGCAGAGCACTGGTACAACACTTCTTTCCACACAGCTACGGGTCGCACGCCCTTTGAAGCTCTGTATGGTTATTTGCCCCGTCCCTTCGGCATGGAAACACCAGCTATGTCCACAGATCTTCGTGAATGGGTTGACGAACGAGCCGCAACACTGGAACTGGTTAAGCTGCATCTTCACAAAGCTCAAGTTCGCATGAAACGCCAAGCAGACAAGCATCGTTGCGAGCGCTCCTTTGAAGTGGGGGACCAGGTATACCTCAAAGTACAACCCTATCTGCAGCACTCTCTAGCCACACAACACAACGCAAAATTGGCCCTCAAGTTCTATGGTCCTTATCAAGTGATGCGCCGTGTCGGAGCAGTGAGCTATCAGCTGGCGTTGCCAGCTAACTCCAAGATCCACGACATCATCCACGTCTCTCAGCTGAAGAAGAAGCTCCCTCCGCGTGCTTAAGTGACACCTGACACAGTTCCACGAGATTTGTCTCTCCTCCAACATGACAGCATTCTCCAAGCGAAGTTGATTTCGAAGGGTGGCAGGACCATTCCCCGCGTCAAGGTACGTTGGACTGGGCGACCGGCAGCACACGACACATGGGAAGATGCATTTGTCCCGCGCTCTCGATTTCCAGAGTTCACGACTTGGGGTCAAGCCGCTGCGAAAGGGGTGGGGAGTGTGACGTACTGGCCCACACCTGGTCGACGACCCAAGGCATCCAGAAGGAATCAAAACCTGGCCCGTGCCTTCGAGGCCCAGCAGGCAGAAGGAAGATCGAGGACGGCAAGGGAGGCAGCTATAAGAGACGAGTCGACGAGAGAAGACGGTGTCCAGAAACGAGTCAAGTAGTTATTTACTCTGCTTTCCCCTTCCCGCTCCTCCTCCACTTTTCCCCTTTCTGTCTCCAAATTGTATCCAGCAAGCAGAACCATAACAGGTCAGGACCTTATTGATGCTGCCTGCCTCGTTCAGGTTAGGAGGCAGCCATTTTGTCGCTCTAAACTGATAAAATAAAGTGTCACCTTTGTGAACACCGGATCCGTGGCGCAATGGTAGCGCGTCTGACTCCAGATCAGAAGGTTGCGTGTTCGATTCACGTCGGGTTCAATAGCCCGAACATGTAATCCGGTCTTTTTTTTTTCTCAACTTTTGCCGTTTTGGGCCCTTGTGGCAAACGAAGAAAGAGCAAACTGAGGCCCATTTTGCCAATAAGCCCATGGAGAGTCGTGGCTCGCTCCGCCGCCTCCGAACCAAAAGTCCAAAACCCTCACAAGCCACTTCGCGAACATTCTCCTCCTCCTCCTCACCCCTGACCTCCCTTCCGCATCCACGCGAGCGAAGCCGCGCCGGCGAAGAGCAGGCGAACCTTCTACAACCCTCCGACTCCGAGCCCCCTTCCGCGGCCCGCAGCCATGGCGACCGTCATGCAGAAGATCAAGGACATCGAGGACGAGGTACTTGCCCGTTGCCTCCAGCCCTCCGGCGACCCACCGCGACGGCGGATGGATTTGACTCCTGCGATTAGTAGTGGTAGAGCTGCAGTCCGTGCGGGCTTTGCTTAGTTTCGAATTGAAATTGTACCATGCTGGTTCGCCGTGGCTCACTGCTTGTGCGGTTTGAGCTGTAGTCAGATTGGATTTGGGGCTATGTTAATTAGGTTTACAAGTAGCAGGGGCCTAGTTTTTTTACTTCTAGTGTCGATTTAGAACTGTTTATTTTCAGCTAGCTTTGCTACATGGATTTGGGGATATGCGGTGTTGCTGCGTCTAGCTGTTGCTACTCTTGATTTGATAGGATGGATGCTAACCCAATGCTCACAGATTCTAGACATACGCTTAGTCGATGGCTAGTGAGGCTTTGGTGGCATTCGGTCTCCGTAGCTGGTCTTCACTTTTTGGTTGCAGACTGAAATGATTTGGATCAAAAAATTCTTTGAATTGTGATGCATTTTGTTGTTCTGTATAATATATACTCCCTCCATAAAGAAATATAAGTGCGTTTAGATCACTAAAGAAGGCTCTTATATTTCTTTACAGAGGGAGTATAAGCTAATCAGATAGTGGGCTTTAAGTTGATGATAGCTTCTTATCATCTGCCTGAGTAAGCGTGTCTTATCAAATGGGGCTTAGTTGATATAAATGGGTGCTCAGGTGTTAGGTGGAATGTTATGTGAGAAGGAGCATTTGTTTTGCTGACAAGTCATGCTCAAAGATGCTCGGAAACTGCTGCAGAGGGTACTGAATTAGTTTAAGTTGGGGTTTATAATGGACTGGCAGGTTCAATGGTAATTCACTTAGTTTACCTTTGTCTGCTTGTTCGCGATTTGATAGCTGTAACTGTTGAATTAGCTTGTTTATGACTGTCACAAGAAGCTGCTGGTCTTTTATGTAATTATTAGGACTCTGCTATACGAGCACATAGAGTGCTCACCGGCATCTTGTATGTCATGGTGATGATTTAGTCCAGGTGGTACTTAATTGGATATTAATATGCTTCTGAAGTGATATGATATGTTGGTGCTTTGGTTTGTGGTCAACATTTGACAATATTAAATCGTTGTCAAGTAGTGAGACTCTGAAAATGTTATTTATATATGCATAATGTTGAGCTGCTCTTAGCGCTCTTGAAGGACTGGACAAGCGAGCATGAATGTTTCAAATAGTTGGCCAAATGCAAATTTATCCACTTTACAAACCCTGTGCTTATTTTTTTTGCTTCTCTTTTACATGACAGATGTCAAAGACGCAGAAAAACAAAGCCACTGCACACCATCTTGGTCTTCTCAAGGTGATTTGAAGCTCCTATCTATTTATTTCAATTAACTGGAATCAATTCCATAATAGATCATGCTATTGTCTAGGAATCTGAAGAACTAGCTTACAGATAGTTTACCATTCACAAAAACTTATGCCTAAATGTTTGTGCTGCTGTTGCTACATATATCTTGCCTTACTTCATGTCCAGCCATATGGCGGTGCTGTCAGTTTTAATCTGGGTCATTGGCTTGACAGTGTAGATATTGATTTTATCAAATCCAATAGCATGGTCCCCGTTGTTGTGGATGAACCTTGATGCATAACAGTTGCATCTGGGCCGTGGCAATGCAATACTGTGGTTATATGCTGCACTATGTATGAGCTTGCATATGGCGTTGAGAAGTGCTTGAAATGGGGTCTCAGGCTCCATTCCCTCATCAAGCTAAACCATTTTATTCTTCTATAGGATTTGATAGTTATGAGCATGTTTTATGTTTAAGCTATTATTGCTACTTTTAGGAAATTTTCGCTGAGTTATTCCTTCCGTCAGGCTAAACTTGCAAAATTACGGCGAGAGTTGCTCACTCCTACAACCAAAGGTGGTGGTGGTGCCGGTGAGGGGTTCGACGTGACAAAAAGTGGAGATGCACGTGTTGGTTTGGTGGGCTTTCCTTCGGTTGGGAAATCAACATTGTTGAACAAGCTGACAGGAACTTTCTCAGAGGTCTGCTCTTTCTGTACTAATGTTCTTTACACTTTTCTGGACTATAATGTTATTCAATACTGATAATAACACATTCTTTCTGCTCCTTGTCTGGTTCAAAAGGTTGCGTCCTATGAGTTTACAACTTTAACATGCATTCCTGGAGTCATTATGTACAAAGGGGCTAAAGTACAGGTATTCTTCTACTTTCAAAGAAAGCTACAAGCTGGCGTTTCTTGCCAGAGAATGTTTTTCTTTGTTTGTAATAGTCACTACTTATTCAGCTTCTAGATCTTCCGGGAATCATTGAAGGTGCTAAAGATGGAAAGGGTAGAGGGAGGCAGGTAATATGTCCAGCTTTTGCTCCATTTTTGCAGTGCAGTTCATATTCATGGACACATGGTCTCAACAAACATGTCACGATGTATCATACATGAATAGTTACATTATTTACAGTTCTCATAGCACTGTTAGTTTAATATTTATGTGAGCATTTAGAACCCATCTTTTGTGCGAATTATCTGAGCACCCACCTATTATAGAAATCATCTATGGCAGCAGTATGTACAAAAATGCATTGCCACTCTCTCCTGGTAGTGTTTTTTTTAATATTTAGGGGGAAAATAGGTATAGTGCACCATATAAATCATGCTAATTGTCATTGTAGCAATCAATATTGTGCTTTCACTTTCGAGCTCATAATGTACATTGTTATTACATATGGCTGGGAAGTTACTTGGATATTCTTTTCCATCTTGAGAGATCATAAGAATAAATTTCCTTTGTGTCGTACCTTTTTTCCAAGCCATTTAATTTGTGGATTATTAAGTTTGTTGCATGCTCTACTTACCATCTTTCAAAATATTTCAGCCAATATTCATGCTTTTCAATACTGTAAAAGACTAAAAATTATTATATCACGAAGGGGTTTGCCCGCGTTATAACTTGTGCATGCTTTTTATTTATTCAGGACACTTTATGCACACCGTGGTCTAAGAATTTCCTGAATTATCCCCTGTTCTTATCTTTAGGAGTTATGTCATGTCTACTTGGCTTAATGATTGATACGATTTTCAGGTCATCAGCACAGCTAGGACATGTAATGTCATTCTGATTGTTCTTGACGCCATAAAACCCATAACTCACAAACGACTCATTGAGAAGGAGCTTGAGGGATTTGGCATCCGGTAAGTCTCTATGTTGATACCATCTTGATTCTTGAGCACTTGTTGTCCTTCTCTTCCAGGCTGAAATTGTTTGTCAGCAACCTAAATGGTTTTGTTTAGCTTTGTTGTGAATTTGGGCATTATCCAATTACATGAGTGGCACCCGTGTCCATTGGGCATGGCAATTCCAGATTCTGCATGTGATAATATTTGTCTTTGTAAGGTGTTTCTTTCTCAAACAGTCTTGTACTAGGGTGTTCCCATGGTGGGCCGTGTTTTTCCCTTCTCTTGGTCACCTGCTCAGTTTGCTTCCCATGAAATGATTTCATCTCTGAATGTCTTGTTTGTTGAGACAAGGTTGATCTTTAACCTGTATGAGCTTTCCATGTATTAGGTTGAACAAGACACCTCCCAATATGACATTCAGGAGAAAGGAAAAGGGTGGCATCAATTTTACATCAACAGTAGCGAACACACACTTGGACCTTGACACAGTAAAAGCAATCTGTAGTGAGTACAGGATTCATAATGCTGATGTCTCCCTGAGATTTGATGCAACAGCAGATGACCTTATAGATGTCATCGAGGGAAGTAGAATCTACATGCCTTGCATCTACGTCGTCAACAAAATTGACCAGATCACAGTCGAAGAGCTGGATATCTTGGACAAACTTCCCCATTACTGCCCAATTAGGTGAGTCTTTACTTGGCTTCTTGATATGTGTGGTTTCTCTTATCTATTTTTCCTTGGCCACTAAAGCACTTTCTTCTTTCTGTTACCTGCTGACAGTGCACATCTGGAATGGAACCTTGATGGGCTTCTAGAGATGGTCTGGGAATACCTAGATTTGTGCAGGCTATACACAAAACCCAAAGGGCTGAACCCAGACTACGAGGATCCTGTGATCTTATCATCCAAGAGGAAAACAGTGGAGGACTTCTGCAACCAAATCCACAAGGACATGGCGAAGCAGTTTAAATAGTGAGTACAGCCACATCTCCCGGCTTTTTTGCTTCCTTGTAACCATTAATCTGTGAGGCTAATTGATCGGTAAACTTGCAGTGCACTGGTGTGGGGTTCAAGCGTGAAGCATAAGCCTCAGAGAGTCGGCAAGGTACGCATTCTTCAACCACTGCCGTGTTACATTGTGTCCTTCCTAGCACTAATTCGCAAGACCTCTGCAGGAGCATGAGCTTGAGGACGAGGACGTTGTTCAGATCATTAAGAAAATATAAGCTACACACCGTGGTGCGAGCGATTCTGTTTTGCGGATCAGGAAGGAGTTCTCAGCTATGAAACTTTTTGAGAAGCAGCTACATTAGGGCCGGTGTTCCTTTTGCTAGCTCTGATGCCCATCGTCGGGCTGCTGTTTGCATAAAAATCTGGTTTCGATCACAAGACAATGTGGACAGTTTTTTTATTAGCTTGTGCCAAGTAGCCATATGTAATTGTGACTGATGCCTGTCATGCCACAACCGCTGAACACATGGGAAGATGCTTATCTATCTCGAGAAGATGCTAAGATGGTTCTTATAGCTTTTGAAGTGTTTCAGTTTATCGTTTCTGATCTCCCTGATGATGAGGCTGCTGATTATACTTTGCCAATGATGAACAAAACTTGAGGATAACATGGCAAGTGTACTGGTTGTCATTACTATTATTACCAGATCCCGTATCGTTTGGCTGTTTGTCGACTTGCATTATGATCCTTGACCATCTGGCAGCATCCTTGTACGGGGCATCTGCTGTTGTTGTGCGAGCATGTGACGGTGCCTTGTCAAGTTGTGGGTGTACGCATGTTCGCTGGTACTATCAATGATTGGGACGTGTGGATCTCCATTTGGTTTGACGCTCCTTCCTTTTTTACCTCTGAGAATGTGGCTTTATTTGTCGATGCTTCCTGTGATCTCGGAGCATCCACTACCAGGAGCAGTTGATTTGACGCGGAATGTCACCGGTGACCCATCTCTAAATGGGTCATACGCGTCACATCAGTTTGCATTTGGCAGTACAAAACATAGATTTCCCAAGAGATTTTTTGCGAGTGAAAGAAACGAGACGGCGTTGCATGTGAGGGTTAGAATGGAAAATAGCCTGAACTGCGCCTCCTCTGGCACTTCCTGTAGACAAGCGTGGACTACTTTGATCGGAGAAGATCACATGTTGATGCCGATTAAGTATTGGGAGCAAATAAAACCTCCATCGTCAAATCACAGAGGATAGTAGGAAAATAGAAAGAAATATCCACATGCAATAATTTTCTCGACGACGAGGAGGAGACGAAGCCCTTACTTCTTCAAGGCGGCGTCATCTTCTCTGCTAATCATCAGTCGATCCTTCTCCTCTCTCCGTGTTTCCTGGACTGCTCCTACCCTCCTCGGTCCTGCCATTTCCGTTTGGCCCCGTCGTCGGTTCTAGTCGAATCCCCCATTCTGCCCCGACCCGAGGCGCGCGGCTTCGCGGGACAAGAAGAACACGGCCGCCCGGCAGTTCCCGGTTCCCTAGATCTGCGTGGCGGCGGCGAGAGGCAGAGTCCGTCAGGAGGGCGGAGGAGGCGGCGGCCAGCCCAGCAATGGTGCCGTGGGAAGGCTACGTGAGCGACGAGACCATGGGCACCTTCGCGCCCATCCTGCTCTACTGGGTCTACGCCGGCGGCTACCAGCTCGTCCTGCACCGCCGCCCGCTCCAGCGCTACAGGCTCCACACGCGGGCAGAGGAGGAGGACAAGAACCTCGTCACCCTCCCCGCCGTCGTGCGCGGCGTGCTCCTGCAGCAGCTCGTGCAGGCCATCGTCGCCATGATCCTCTTCATGGTAAGCCTACTATCCCCGCGGCATTGCTGCTCTCGTTGCTGCCTGTTCCTTCAGTGGTGATGTAAGCTGCCATGGATATGGACAAGGAGCAGAGCTAATCAATAGTTCCTCACATTTTGGCTTGGACTACTTTTTTTTTTTTTGCATTGCAGATCATTTGTACATTAGGTTGCTACCACTATATGAATATGGTTAATTACTCAAAAAAATTCTGATAAAAAGTTACTCAAAATTCAATGGAAAACCTTCAGAATGGAGTCGATCATGTTGTTCTTCTGGTGATAATTCTTTCGAGTTAGTCAAGGGAAAAGAATATGCTGTGTTTAAGAGCTTGGACACGTAGAAAACAACAATATTTACATAATTACTTCACAGCTAGTAGTTTGAGGCAGTTTCTTAACATTTTTCACATAGGCGGTTCATTTGGTAAAGATTATTACTGCTGTCCCTGATACAGTGAATGTATATGTTCATTGTCTTCTGGCCTTTGCGCTATGTGGAATTCAAATAGAGTGGTTTTTCTGGCTCTAGTTAAATTTTTGGAGAAACTATCTGCAGTTGAATTATGATTGCTTTAGTACCTACTACCTATCCGTCAATTGGCTTCCCCTGATTTAACATCTCTGTTTTAAAAACATTTGTCCCTCAAAAACTCTTCTCAATCTGGCTTCTATCTAGACATAATGTCATGTAATATTGTCTTACATAGTGAAACAGATAACCCATCCATTGACCGATGAGTGCGGCTAATCACTGTCTCCTAAAAGATGTCATATTTACAGAATGTGGGATAACAGTCCATAATTTCTCAAAACAACATAAAGAGCATTACTCTTCACTGGCCTAATTCACCAAAAGTTCACATTGTTCATCAAGCAAGAACAGCAGCTTGTAAACTCCTAAGAAGTAACACATCAGCACATCACTGCGCTTGTATGCAATCTGCTCAGAAAGGTTATTTCATTCCGGATGATTTCAGCTGCATCCAACGAATGAATCGACTATCTCCTATAAACATTGCATGCTTGCAGAATTAGAAGTAAACTTTGTTCAGATGGCTTGAAATTACCGAAAATAAATCTGCAGCACTGATATTATCCTAAAGATTCAGGCAGGCTTCGTAAATTCACTCATTATAGTTATCTGTACTGCCCTGAAGATATCTAATCACAAAGAAAAGAAAAGCAATTGTTTGTCGATGGTGCCAACAATAGAACGGCTGTATGCTTGCGCTCGTCTGTTTATGTTGCATATGTCCTGTTGATGATAACTTTCAATAGTTGTCGTTTTTTTTTTCAGTTTTCTTAGTGGACAGCTAATTCATCATTTAACCCATCTAACCTGATTCTGTGGGATTATTTGCAGATTACTTCAGATAGTTCAGTGGTTCTAGTCCAGCCATCTATGGTGGTTCAGTCGTTTCAGTTCTTGGTTGCAATGCTGGTGATGGACACATGGCAATATTTTGTGCACCGCTACATGCATCAGAACAAATTCCTCTACCGACATATCCACTCACAACATCACCGGCTGATCGTTCCTTACGCTATCGGGGCTCTCTACAACCACCCACTGGAGGGGCTCCTACTGGACACTCTAGGTGGTGCTATGTCCTTCTTGGTCTCTGGTATGACGCCGAGGACAGCTGTATTCTTCTTCTGTTTCGCTGTGCTCAAGACGGTCGATGATCACTGTGGACTTTGGTTGCCATATAACATATTCCAGCACTTGTTCCAAAATAACACGGCGTACCATGACATCCACCATCAGCTCCAGGGCACAAAGTACAACTACTCTCAGCCGTTCTTCTCAATATGGGACAGAATGCTAGGAACCCACATGGCCTACGACCTAGTGAGCCGAAAGGAAGGGGGATTCGAAGCGAGGCCATTGCGAGACTAGCATGGAACTCATTGAAGTGTATAGAACTCCAGCTACTCACTGGGATATATGATGCTCTTCTAGTCCCCTTCTCATGATTGGCAGCTTACAGGAGCCATCTAACTTCTTGTAAGATGATGAAGGTATTCCAGTACTCCCGGTTCCTCTTTTTTTGTTCTCATGCCTTGGTGGATGCCATTGTCTACTGGAGAAGACACTGAAGCTGTTGTGTTGCTTGTTCTTTTTTCCCTGCAGTTATCTAGTTAGACCCGTTCACCTTGAATGTGCGTGTTTTGTACGGGTAGTCGGTTACTCGTGAGTTTTTTATGGTTCTTTCTTGTGCAAAGCTGCCATTTACATTACTGTGCAGATAGTGTATTCGCAATCAGTCACGCTTCTGTATGTATCCAATTATTTATGTAACCGAATCTTTGGGCATAATTATGACCTTCAAACACACATTTTTTTAGATCATCAGGGGAGTTTGGCGCCCCCCCGGTTCCATTCGTTATAAAATAAATGAAACCACATCAGTCCAAACACCCAAGCATGCCTCAAACGCATGTTCTGAAAGATCAAAAATCTAAAACAGTACAGGGTAAAAAAGGCCTGCAGCCTAATACAGGATCAGGGATCCAACGTTCTTGACTCTGAATTAAAACCGATGAGAACACTACAGCAAAGTGATCCGCATTCCTCCTGCATCAGCTAGAATCCTCATGTCTTCTGCAGCGAGCATCTTGCGTACCTCCTTGATATGCTCCACGAGCCCCCCTTTCATCTTCTTGAGGGGTTGAGTTGGTGTGCCAGGCCAGTCGAGAGGCGATGCAGGGCTTGAAATCGCCTGAACCGTCTTTTTTGATGGTGGATCACTCGGCCTTGAAGATCCTGGACTCTGGAACCCATCTTTACAAGCCCCAAAATCAAGCTTGGAGTAGAAAGAGGCATGGGTGGCACCTCCAGCGCCCATCAAGTTCCTTTTCACCCCAAAGTCAATTGGAGCGCGCTTTTGAGTATGCAGGATATCCAATGTAGTATCTCCTGCATTTTCTCGAGCGAGTCCTTGGTGTACAGAATCATCCACCTCTTGAGGGTCCTCCAGATCAGCCACCAGATCTGCTTAACATCAGACCAGACTGCATTATCAAAAACATGCTTATTTCTAGTTTTCCACAAGCTCCACAAGACACGAGCACAAAATGCATGAAGTACTTCATGTTTCTTGTTAGCAGGCCAAAATTTGGCTATGGAATAGTAACTAGATCCTACTTCCATTGAAAGAAACGAGGAGACTGCATCCCAGATGTTTTTTGCAACCACACAGTCAAAAAACAAGTGGTTTACAGTTTCCTGTTCGGAGCAAAAAAGACAGTCAGGGTTCCTATCTATGCCCCTTTTAAGCAAATTGTTCTTGGTCATAAGTTTATTATGCGCCAGGAGCCAGAGGAAAACCTGGATTCTGGGAGGCACAACAATGGACCACACAGAGGGGATATAGACAGGCTTCACCCCTCTAAAATTGATTATGGCATAAAGTGAACT